CATAGATTGTACTGAAATCTAAATATATAAATCCATTCATTTTTTCAATAAATACTGTTTACTCTATTTTTACTTAGATCTTACTGTGTGCTTCATACAATGCTAAATGATGGAGATTAAACAAAACATGATGGATATGGGGAAATAGTATATAAATCTTGTAATTCTTAATTCTGTCCCCTAGTCATCAATGAATTCGTTTATACTTATAAAAAGTGAACCTGAAAATATATTTGTTGTTTCCTATAAGACAGAAAGTTGAATACGTACAAGCCTGAAACAGCTATTAAGAAAAGAAACTAGGGGCCGGCCCGGTGGCGCAGCTGTTAAGTTTGTATGTTCCTCTTCTCCGTGGCCCAGGGTTCGCTGGTTCGGATCCTGGGCACAGACATGGCACTGCTTGGCAAGCCATGCTGTAGTAGGTGTCCCACATATAAAGTAAAGGAAGATGGGCATGGATGTTAGCTCAGGGCTCGTCTTCCTCAGCAAAAAGAGGAGGATTGGCAGTAGTTAGCTCAGGGCTAATCTTCCTCAAAAAAAAAAAAAAAAAAAGAGGAAGGAAAAGAAACTAGAGCTCTTTTGATTCAACTGCTTCGTAGACTATACTAGTTAACCAAATACGTTCCAGCTCTTAGAGATGGGTGAACAGGCTATCTCCCCCAGTTATCACCTGGATCAAAGTCTTGTTTCAATTTACCAATCTTATATTCTCCAAAAAAAAAAAAAAAGTTGGCAATTTTCAAAGAGTACAATTTTCATTTGGAAAGAACTCTTCGGTGAATCCATTAACATTTTGTAATCACTTAATTATTTTTAATCGTTAAAAAAATGTCAGCAGGTAAGCATTTACAAGAGCGGGCTTCAGAATGATGAGGCTTACATCCAGCTAATCCGTATTTGGAGCGGCTACCGGAAGTCCTAGACTAGTTCCGGGTGACAGGGAGGGTCTGGATCCGCAGCCGTGTCGCTGAGACGCCGCTCCACTGCCACGGCTTCGTGCACTTGCTCTCTTCCTAATGCGAAAGGGCATGTGGGTAAATGAGATAATAGCTGGAAACGTGAAACCCTAGCCATCAAGAGCAGAGAGCGCTCCGATTGTAAAAGTCCTTCTTCAAATGCTCCTTGAGAAGATGCTGAGATGGAATGAAAGTCAGATGGAAGATAGTGACTGAGAGCAGACGATAACTCAGAAGTCTAGTTATGAATTTTTCTTAAGGTGGAAAAACCATGCTAGTACTTCCCAAATCAGGCCAAATTCATTTTAGCTTATGCAGTTGTTTCCCACTGAGTCAAGCGCTATAGAAGGCAAAGACATCCAGCATTCTGTAATAGGTCAGGGAAAAGAATGTGTGACTGGAGGAGGGGGCGAGAGGCTCCCTACAGCAAGTCAGTGCTGCTCCAAGGATCACTGCGCGTGGAGACCTTAGAGGGTGACTGGTTTTTATCTCAAGTGTAGGAAAAATATGTATGACTCAATTGACATGGATCTGAATTTATTTAAAGAGGTCTGTATTCGGTGCTTTCTGAAGGCTCATGATTATGTTAGTTGGATCTTTAGGTTACAGGTGCCCTTCAAATGTAGGACATTTTAAAAACTGAAACATTGACATTTATTAAATAAAAAGAGTAAATTGAGTTAGGGGACATATCTATGTCTCATGGGAAAATCCAATTATCATCAAGATATTGTGTGATTGCAATGTTACACTAAGGCGTGTCCATCAGCATGCCCTCCAACCTGCTTTGTCTGAGATTCTCTTGAAGGCTCACATGGGTGAAAGTCTAGTCTGCCGGGTAGGATGAGCAGAGCTCTGGCTGGCTTCCCCTACCGAGCCAAGTCTGTGATCTCACACCTGTCCTTTATTCAGGAAGAGCCCCAGCTCTGTGTTTATATGGCTCCTCAGTAGGCCATCGTAGTTGACTCAAGGGAACCAGAGGAATGTGGCAAATGTTCCACAGAGACTTACTTCTTTGGTTGTTCAATTTTTGGAGGAAAGTGCACAGGCATGATCTCCCGTTGAGACTTGGCTCACGATGAGTAGAAGAAAATATCCATATTAGGAAAGGGAGAGTTGTTGAAAAGTCCAAGTTAAACATGACACCCTTCCTCCCCTGAGCTTCCCATGTGTGGATATGCGTGCTTGACAGGGATGAAAACATCCCTGGTTTCAGCTGGCTTAATTGGGCGCATGTGAACACAATTTCTCTTCTCAGCGGTTGCTTCTCTGGCCAGGTTCCAATGATCTCACAGTGGAAATTTTCAATGTTAAATTTTGTGTGTGAAATATTTTTAGAGATTTAAAAAAACTTTTTTGTTTATTTTAAGGAAAAAATGTCAACATGAAATCACTTACTAGCAAATCTGTTAACAACTTGAAATGAAACATACATGTAACAGAGATGATATTGAATTTCAGCAAACAGGGCCCCCATCATGAAGTTTGCACTCAATACCCCTTTGTACGTGCGAGATGGCATTTCTTTAGAGTGGACATTTAAAATGTGGCTGGCCATGCATTTTGTCTATAAACTGAATGCTCAAATAAAGTGAATAACACCAAAAAGTATTTCCAATGGTTCAACTAAAAAAATGTTTCCAGTAGTGCAATTCACTAAACATGTAATAGGTACTTTAAGAAGGTGTACAGCATGGTGGTTAAGAAAACAGACTGCTACTGCTAGCTACTTTTGCGACCTTAGGCTATTTCAGCCTCTATGCTTCGTTTTCCTCCTCTGTAAATCGGGATAATGTAACTACATGGAGTTGTTGTGAGGATTAAATGAGTTACAGTGCATAAACAGTGCTTACAGCAAGGCCTGGCACGTGGTTAGAGCTCCATAAATGTTGGCTGTTGCTGCCATGGGCCTGTTGCAAGCACAGCCCCAGGTGCTGTAGGGCAACCAAAAGTGGATGAGCAGTAGTCTTCCTCTCCAGGTGCAGACACCTGAGAGGTATGCAGTGAGTTATAATGCAACTCTGGCTGCAAGAAGAGCTCTATCAGAGACACAAATTGCAGTTGGCAGTACACAGGAAGAGTAGGGTTATGACAAGGGCTGCATTTGATTTGGGTCTTAAGTGATAGGTAAGATTTTGACAGGTAGAAGGGGAAAAAGAGGGAACCATCAAACTGAGAAAGGTTAGAAACCATTTCCAAGGTCACTTAACTAGAAAAGGTTAGAGAGAATTTAAAACCAGGGCTTTTAAAATCTAAAGCTGTATTTTTAATTATGTTACGATATTGGGCCTCATTTAAGATAACATGGAGATACGTTGAAGTTAATCATGAGCCAGCCCTTAATTGCATCTTAAAAACTTTTTAAATCGATTCTGCTTGTACAGGGAAGCTACTGAAGCCTTTTGAACAGAGGACTAGCTTGAGTGGGTTTGTGCTTTAGGAACAAAGCTCTGAGGGCAAGATGAGAAATTTATTGCAAGTAGGGAGATTGGAGATGGCATGATCGACTTGTTGGGAGAGGAGTGGAGACGTGAGTGGAAAGGAGGGTGTGGAATCAAGTTGTAGCTTCAAAGTGAAATTCATAGGATTTGACTGTATGGAAAGAGCTGACATTTCTGAAATCTTGTATGTTGTAACTTGACAGTTGATATGGGCAGGAAGACAGTGAATTAACTTTGAGATATGGGTGGAAAGCACACATGGGGATTTTCTATTAGACTTTCTTTCAGACTGTCTTTGTATAGATAAGGTTTAACATATTACATTTTGTTCTTCTAGTCAAAAAATAATAGCCATTGGACTAACGAAACTCTAAACATTTTTTGGCTATATCAAGAATGGGCACATTTTTCAGTAACAATAATGCGTGTTTGTGTGTGAGAGAGAAAGAGAATAGAGTTATAGGACTTACGTTAAAAGAACTGTTTCATAGGGACTAGCCTGGTGGCGTAGTGTTTGGGTTTGCACGCTCCACTTTGGTGCCCTGGGCTTCACTGGTTTGGATTCCCCAGTCATGGACCTACACACTGCCCCTCAAGCTGTGCTGTGGCAGTGTCCCACATACGAAATACAGGAGGATTAGCACAGATGTTATCAGAGAAATACTCCAAATTTCTCATTAAACCGCTTCTTTATGAGCAACAACATAGATTTACAATGTCGTTGCCATTCTTCCATGATGGAGAATCCTTGCCCAGTCAGACATAAACTCGTTGCCAGGGCCCAGGCTCTCCACAGTTCCATAGTCTGACCTACTTAGCTAGATTTTTATTGTGTTTGTAGTTGAATTCTGCTGAGCAGGTGTCAGAATGGTAGCTCCTGAGGCTGGTAGAGTAGAACACTCGATGCTGTTGGAAGCAGGCAGGTTGTGAGGCTCGATTTTCCCTGAACCATATTGGAATTCCTTTGACAGTAGAGGATGGCAAAGTGTGAAAGGTGTTTTATGTCTTTGTTCCATCTTTAAACATCATTTAGAGTTTATATTATAGTGGTCCCAAAGATCTCTGTCATTCTAAATAGTTTTTACATGTAGCTGGCAGGTGAGGCATGGAGAGCCTTGTAGAAATTTGCTGTAGTAAAGCAGTGGACACAGATGAGGAAGGGTTCAAGTGAAAGAAATCAGATGTGAACGAAAAGCAGCGTGCAGGCGTGAGGCTATCGGACGGGAGAGACAGCACCCGCGTGCGCCTACAGTAAAATTAGGCTGTGGTCATTAGTAAACTGAATTTTTATACCACAAATATTAGATGTGCTAATAATTAAAGATAACATTTTGCATTAAAATAATTACATTAAAATAATTAAAAAATATAAAATAATCTTTTATAATTCAGTGAGGGGAAAAAAGTGATGGGTCTTTCTCACAGGTAGCTATTAAACAGCCAATGGACCGTAAGGTAAATTGCTTCCAAAAAGTTTAACATGTTCCTAGGCATTTGTGGCTCGTGGTAAGAAAGTAGGGATTTCTTAGAAAGTAAATCCTAGGGATTTAGAAAGTGACAAAGTCATGGGAGATGCGTAATCATCGCGAATGCATTCCTATAGAACAGTCCTTAAGGGAGCTGGAGACAGAGGAGGCGGATTGCCGATTCGGAGACAGAGCAAGTATTCCTGAGAGAGAAAAAGTGCTCCTGAAAGCAGCGGGTGCTGGTCTTCAAATGTCGTCATTCAGTTCCTCAACGACCAGGTTTGGAAACTGATCAGTGCTATTGAATTTCTCTGTAATATCAGCATAACTTTGAAATATCCTTAGTCTAGAAAATGTAAGTGAATTAATGACTAAAGATTTTGTAAAATGTGGTTGTCAACAATTTTTTGAACATCTGTCTCCAGAGGAATATGATTACGGATTCAAAATTGCAGGGAAAAAGTGACAAATAGTCAGTCTTGGCTGTAAATTTTCCTATTTGGGCTGGGAGTCAGCTTCCTCAGAAATCAGCTTGGTCGTCCCTCTCCCTCCAGGTCCGGGGCACACAGAGCAGCTGCTTGTCTCTGGAGTCCAGCTGTGAAGGATTCATGGGCGCCTTCTCCAGGGTTGCCAGCCCCAGGATTGTTCTCCGTGAAGATTTCTCCCAGAATCTCAACGTGGCAAAGCTCACCATGGGACCATCCTTTTAGTTAGAGTTTCCAACAAATGGGGAAGCATTTGGCATGCTCTTTCCATCTTTGCTACTATTCATTTAGTCTTTGTCTCTGAAATGCGTTGCCAAGAGGAAAGCTTCGTGTGTTCGTTTGTAGTGTGACATCTTGCTTTGGAAACTTTGAGTGTGTGCATAGGGAGGCAAAGAAAAAACGAGGCTTCACTTTTCCCCACTTTGCATTAATTAAAAAAAAGACTGAAAGTGAAGTTTGAGTTTTTCTTTATTCAGAAATTGGAAAGAAGATTCGTATGCATTTTTGTTGTTGTTGTTGCATTTTTGTTGTTGTGTTGTTGTTGGAGTAGATGGGAGGTAGTAAGAGGTGTCAGAGACTTTCTCTTTGTTTTTAATGTTGGTACCCGAGAGATTATACTCAATGATAGATGATAAAAGAAAGGGCCAGGTTTCAGGTGGAGTAATCTTATGAGGATGAAGGGCCTGGATGTCTTGTGTGGGATAAATGGAGGCTCTAATCGTGATCCGACTCACCGCTGGGGTTGGACATATTACGTATATCAAAAAAAGATATTAAAATGGAGATAAATTTAAACCTGGTGAGAAAAAGGCAATAATAAGCCTTCCAAATACCATTTAAAATTGCCCCACAGTGACCATGGAGCCCTACATAAAAGAAATACTATGATCTCACTAATTGTAAAACCTACAGTTTTAGAAAACTAATGGATCTTAGTGGAGAGAAATTCATAGCTTAAGAATGTGACAACCACGATAAGGTACTGAAAAGTCAGTTTCCCTAAGGCGGTTAGCGTGGACTCTGTAATGAACTAAGTACTGGGAAACTTAATTTGAATTTTCCAAACTGTGTGCCCAGAGACATATGACTGAAACGTATTTTCAGAAAGCTATAAAGCAACCATAGTTCTTGACAAGGACTAATAGTCTGCTTTTACAAAGAACTTTTTTTTAATCTAAGGGCTTCAGAGAACAAGCAGAGAGTCAGTTATGCTACCAGCATTGACACTTAGAGAGAATGAATGGGTCTTAGGGAACCACTGAATCCGAAAGTTACATTCAGTCAAGGCTCATATTGTTTTCTGTTTTAATCTAGGATTACTGTATTTGCTTTTTTTACAGTTAGAAAAACAACTTCAATTATATCTGTCAAGAATATGCTAATAATTGAAGAGTGTTTAATATTTTATTTCTAATAATGAAAATATTACCAAATTGTATTTATTTTTAAAGATACTTGAAATAATAAAATTCCAAGACAGCAAAAAAACTGTACTCACTTTCCGGTCATCAAGTCTGTGTCCCTCGTTACTGAAAGGTCTTGTCATTAGAGTAAGGAAAGGGGAGCTCGACTAAGCCTCAGAACGCCAACTGATCCATAGAAGTAGTAGGTGACTCTTCACAGAGAACCTGGGGAAGGTAGAAGACGGGCCTGCCAGAGGATGAGACCCAGAGGGGGTCGTATGGGCACGCCTTGCGAAACCCCAATGACAGAAAGAAGGCGGGGGAGAAGGGGTTCTGGATATGGAAACTAATTTTGGAAGGAGCAACACAAGAACATTGAAGACAAGTATTGCCTGCCTGGGAACTTTGTCTAGTCCCAGTGTTTGCGACGTGCCTAGGCTGACATTATAGGGAGCCCGAACAGATTGGATGTCACTGCCTTCGGAACCCATGCTGTGGCCCCATGAAGAGATCCAAAGAAGGGCTCTGCTTCTGCTCTTCCTTGGCAGCTGAAGAGCATGGCCAACGCTCCTTCCCTGAGCCCTCACCACCATCAGACATTGTGTTGAACCCTCCATCCTCCATCCCGTTTGGTCCTCACAGTGGCCTATGAGCAGTTAATAATACCTCCATCACCACCGTCCCCCCCATTTTTTAACAGAAAATACTGAGACTCTGAATAGTTAAATGACCTCAAGAACAAACAAAAAATAACAGTAAAACTGGGGTTTAACCCTCGAGTTGTCTGCCTGTAGAGCCCATGCTTTATCCCAGGGTCTTAAGACACGGGAACTGGCGTCAGAGAAATGTCTGCAGAACTTGCTGCTGTCTGGTCTCCAGGCTCTGTGCCCAGCCCAGAGCAGCAGCCCCTCTAGCTGGGGCAGAAATGGAGGGAAAACTCCTGGAACTTCAGCCCTTCAGCAGCCAGTCTCAGATCCTTCCCTCCTGTCTTCCCTCATCAGATTCTGAGATGCAGATATCCTACTTCTGCTCCTCAAGACAAAAAGGGAGTTGGAAGGAGAACGTAAGTCTCCAGGGGAGTGGATCCCGTCTAGTTTCTCCATTTCCACAGTCTCTCACTCACTCCCAGTTCCCGGCATCAAAGAGGTGGAAGAAAGGTCTGGAGGGAGAGGGGTCTTCACTTTCTGCTCTGTTCTCTTCCATTTATCTTTAATTCTCCTTGTGATTCATGGTCCCTATCTCCAGCTGTGACATAGCCCTTTCAAAATAGACCATTTGTTCTTGGAGTTTGGCAGGAAGAAGGCATGACTTTATTTTCAGGTGAGTTAATTATTATATCCTGTAGGGATGTCTACACTACAATCCTGATTGTGGTATTTGCTGCTTATTAAGCTAGGGTGTTTTGTTTTTTGTTTGTTTGGTTTTTTTTTATCAAGCCCCTGAAATTCCTCAGAGCAAAGATAGGTTATAAATGACACCGAGTGGAATAAAGCTACTTATAAAACATGTCTCAAAACAGGATTTTTCTTTTTCTAGAGCATCCAGTGCTTTTTACCCTAGATAGATAAGATAGTTAATCCCCCAGCCCCCTTATTACTCTCCTACCGGTGTGTGGACACACTGACTCCCCTTTCCTGGGGTCTTGGCATACTCCATGAAGAGAGTGATGTGGAAGGGTAAAAACATTACTCAGCCACACTTTACGAAAGTTTCTAGCAGTTGGCAATACTCAGTGTGACCTTTATGTTGGATTTTGCCATCATTTTAATCACTTTACCATCACTTGCAGGAGAGAAGGCGTCTTTAAAAGTGCCCTATTTAAGACTAAGCCAAGACTAAGTGTACATTCTCATTATTTCACACGTTGTCAAAGAAACCAGCACAGTGAAATGACAGCATTTTGAAGAAAATAAATTTGCACAAAGCTCTTAATTAAGGTAGGGGAGGACATTTTATTGCAATTATTTATATTTGACGTTAATCTTTTCATTTTCATGTTTATGCAGCAAAACTTTATTTTTGTGTCCAAAATTTTGCTTTTAATTTCCTACCACTGTTTGCCAAAGCCCTTGTAAATTTCTATGTCTTTTGCAAGAGGTTTTTACCCAAGAGTTTTTGGACTATCTATTGTATTCTTTATGTTTCTGTGTATTTGGCTGATTATTCTACTATATCTAGGCTCTCATTTGCAAAAAATTAATTTCCGTATAGCATGCTAAAGGAAGTTTCAGTGTATTTACTGATCAAAAAAAAGCTTAACTTTTTCTAACACCCACAAGGATAAAGCATTTGATTTTATACTGATTATTACTACTGTCATTAATTTTATCTACTTTTTAATTTTTTTTATTTTAAAATATCAAGCCTACAGAAAAGTTGCAAAAAGGACCCTTCAATCAGACTCATTAATTGTTAATATTCAACCTTTTGGGAATTAATTATAAACATCATGACAGCCCAATATTTTAACATTTCTCGCCTAAAACAAGGACATTCTCAATATAACCCACAATATAATTATCATAAGAAAATTTAACTTAATGTAATGCTTTTATCTAAACACAGTCCATATTCAAATTTCCAAAGTTGTCCCAATAAAATCTCTTATAACTATTCATACCCCTCCTTCCAGGACCCAATGAAGAATTATTTATCACATTTAGTTATCAAATCTCTTTATCCTCCTTTAATCTAAAACAGCGCTCAGCTATTTTTTTCTTTCATGACGTTTAGCATTTATAAAGAAACTGGACCATAGTCTTGTACAATATCCCTAAAATGAGCATTTTCTTGTAATTAGATTTTGGTAAAGAGCATTTTTGGCAGGACTACAATGTGTGTGATGTTGTGTCCTTCACAGAGCATCATGTCAGGAAGTACACGCTGTCAGTGTATCCTAGTTTGGGAAATGAAGTTTGGTCACTTGGCTAAGGTGACGTCTGTTGGATTTCTTCATTGTGAAAGAACCCTCTTCTTTCATAATTAATAAGTACTCTGTGGGGTGATATTTTGAGACTATGTAAATATCTTGTTCTCCAATGATCCTTCCCCCAATGGCTTTGGTATCCATTAATAGATGTTGCTTGAATCAATCATTACTCTGATGTCAGCAAAATAGTGATTTTCCAATTTTATCATTTCTTCTACATTTATTAGTCATCATTTTTCTGTAAAGAAGATCTTTGCATTCTTCCTCTCTCCAACACCTGAAATTATTATTTTGGGGTATCATTATGAACTAAGAGATTCCTTTTGTATTCAATGTATTATAATTTATTCCACTCGTTATTTGTTATAATTCATGAATTGCTCTAAATTTGGTCTATGGAAGCCCCGCTAAACTCTGTTATCCGTTTCAATTGTCTTATTCACTTAACCTCATTATCAGAAATAAGCTTTGAAGATTCAAAATAATTTTTATCCCAATTATTTGTAGCAGTACTTCAACTCTCATATCACATTTATTTTTACCTGTGAAAAATTGTCTAACGGTTCAGCTTCAATATGTAAAGAGCTGGGAAGTTGTCACTCTTATCTTCACAAGAAAAGAGCTGAACACACTGAAAACCAAAGACCTTTCTTGGACCCAGAGAAACTAAGGTTGCGGGTCAAGCAGGTCAAATTCAGAAAGTCACAGCCAAGATCTGCTTACCTAGAACAGAAGTCATTGGGTCCATAAACTTATAGCAACAGTTAAATGGTAATTTTGGTGAATTGTTGGATGCTGAGTGGGGACTAACATGAGAGTCAGAAACTCCTGGGGGACACAGTCTTAGGGAGCTCCCACACTTTCATGGTGTTTACCTCTGGGAATCCCCCAGATCTTCTTGGTAAAGAGCCAAGAAAGATCCTCTATGCCTCTGACAATGGAAGGGAAAAAGTAACAATTTGAAAACTCACCCAGTGCCTTGGCCATAACAAAAGTCCACTCCTCAGGGTCTAAGACTTTACCAGAGCCTTATCCCCCCTGGGGAAAGAGCATGTACTCAACTCTGGCGCTTTCTAGGCATCTTGTCTTACCTAAGGTGGGGAGTAAAGCTAGGAAATATTTATGAAGCTCACAGTCCAATGACACAGACTGAAATTTCATTGTAAGAGTATAGAATGCTCCCCCTCCCCCACACCTTACACCCTCTACACCAGCAGGGCTCCAGTATTAAGAACAGTGGGTTACAGCTGAAAGGGCTGCAAGACACAGACTGTCTGAGGAGGAGTTCTCAGGGAAGCTCAGAGACAATGGGGGAGACAAAAAACAACGGCAGCAGAGGTGTCTCAAGCCTCTGGTAGGTACAGCTACAGCCAACAGCCCAACTTCTAGACAGATTAACATAAAACATCATACCAAAGCCTATTTACCTCAGTTCCTATTACCCAATACATCATGTCTAACTTCCAACAAAAAATTACAAGGCACGCTAAATAGCAAGGAAAAAGTCATATAATGAAAATATCCTCTCTTTGTGAAGATGTTTCTTCACCTTCAGTTGAATTAGGATGAGATTGCCCCGAAAACTCCTTTGTTATGTTTGTGAAGTTCCGTATGTAACGTCTGATTTCTGCCTATAAAAATCGATTTGGTGACTCATATAACATGAAGAGAAATTTAATTATTCAGTTCTAGAGCAAATAAGAAGTACAATTAAAGAAGTGCAGTTAAAAAGACAACTATAGGCTGAAAAGCTGACTCTTTTCCTTAGGAACAGAGAAGCTAAAGTGAAATGTTTGCATCGAAGGGCCCTGCTGGTTTTACGGTCACATCTGCTAACCAGTCTGAATCCTTGGCTCACAGGGATCCTCATGACTGCTGAAAAAAAGCGATTCTTTCAGAAACATTTCCCCTTCGTGTAGCCTAGCATTTTTCAGCAGTCTGTGTTCCCAAAACTCGTGGTTGAAAAATACTCAACCTCGTGCCTACATTTCCTGAAAAGAAGATCAGTCCAGAGGTGATTCAGTAACACATGAAGCTTGCTCTCCAGACACAAATATGAAATACGAATCAGAAAGAACACTGGCATGAAAATGACAGAAACCTCATCACGTTGAGTTGGGAAGTCAGTCTTATTATTAGTTCACAGAGATTGAGTGTTCTTTGGCATTTCGTGGTGCCAACAGTGGGCTAGGTGCTGTAGCGCACATAGAATTAGACAAAATTCTTGCCCAGGGGGCTCATAATCAAATCAGACAAACCAGACGCTAGCCCAGTCCAGCAGTCTGGAGTGGGGAGAGTTGGGCTTCCATGGGGAACCTAAGGTCACTCTGTCCATGAGGATACACTGTTTCCCTCCAACAAGCCTGTTCTCTTGTGTTATGTAAGTTTGGGAGGAAACCTTAACATACCTTCTTGTGATTTCCATTTCGACATCACCTAGGAAATGCAGTTGGGTTTTCACTCGTCGTGTGACAGGGTTCAGGATAAATTCTGTTAAGCACGTGGCTTGGTTTACTGGGTAAGGAAGGAAAAACTCACAGGCCAGAGTTACTAGAGGGAGAAGCAAAGTTTTGTAGGAGACATTCCAGGGAGAGACCTGCAGGGCCAGGTTTTTGCTGAGCCTGCAATACGTATCTGCCATTTTGTGACGATCCATTCTCACCTCCACTCCATCATGAGCGGTGAAGGTTGCATGAGCAACCTTGACGAGTGAGCTGTTTGGCACCAGGCGGTCTGGATTTGGGTTGTCAGCTGTTTACAGAAGATTTTTGGGCATACCAGTAGGCCAGCAATTGGAAATCTTTGCACTCATGTAATATTCCCAATGTGGGGCAGTAGATGACCCTGTTGACATGCAGGTCTGAGTTTAAAAAGCAATAAATAGCATGCATGTCAAAACTCAGCTCAAGGTTGGATTGGATAATTTCCTGTGTCCTCCAAGTGCTTGGTACTATCTCTGTTCTAGACTTGGCACTCTGTATTAAGATCACTGCCTATTTGTCTGTAAACCATCCTCTAGCAACTAGATAGTGCTAGGCACATAGTAGGTTCCAATGAAAATTTGTGAATGAATAAATGCCGTAAAGAATGTAAGCCAGCTCTAACTCTGCATGTTCTTTGACCTTCCAAGGAGAACTCAAGTATGACAACTTTCAAAAATCTTCACAGTCCCCAAACCAAACCCCTTTAAGATATGTTTGTTTGTTTGTTTTTTAACAGCCTTGGGGCCTCAGCTTTATATTTAAACCTACAGGATGTTTCCATAGTTAATTAGTTAGAATCACGAGAGTAGCTACTCCCAAACCTTCATCTATTCCATAATTTTATGTATATATCACATGGTGTGCATTATGCGCTCAGAATTATGTCACTCTATTATTTTGTGTATATATCAGTACCAGTGTGGTTTGAACTCAGAATAATGGAATAATTGTTTTAAGAAAAATATTTAGGAGTTTAAAAGCCATGTGGTTTTTTTAAATAATAATTTTGCTTCTTTAAAGCTCCTTGAAGATGTTGTGGATTTTTAATAGAGGAAATAACTTTTTAAAAACCGTTGTTTAAGGGGAACGGGGGAGGGAGGAGGGTGAGGGGGTGATTAGGCACAAATGTGTGGTGACGGATTGTAATTCGTTTTTGGGTGGTGAACATGACTTAACCTACACAGAATTCGAAATCTATTAGGATGTACACCTGAAAGTTATATAATATTATAATCCAACGTTGCTGCAATAAAAAAATAAATTTTTTAAAAAATTAGAAAAAACACTGTTGTGTGAATAAAGTATAGTACAGACCAGTCTCCAGCAAGAGCAGTAAATTCATATCCAGACTGTCTTGGAGTCCATCAGCTGGTGACAGACAGAAGACTAGAAAAAGCGTGCCCCAAGTGTTATGTAAACACATCAGTCCTAGTGCCTAAGCCAAACCCAACATTGCTGAAGCTACAGTGAATTAAAGGACCTGCCTCAAATGTATCGGTTATCTCCTCTCCCTGTGAAACAGGGTTTGGGAGAAGTTTGGCTTTCTGAGAAAATTAAAATTGCTAGAATGAAAATATTCCTTTGGCGCTCTGATAGGCTGAGAAGGTAGAGTTTCTAATTTAATCGTAAACCAGTTCCTCATCTCTAACATTATGAGGAAATGCTATTTTGGGCTGGGTTAAGGACAGTCTTTAGAGATTTGTCCATTAATGAGCAAGCAGATTGATCTTTCCCAAGTACAGCTCCATTCTGCAATGTGCCAGTTTCCCCAGATTTGAAATAATCCCCATGAGCTCCATTTAGCGTTATAGAGAATGGTGTATTTTATGGAGATATTCTTTTCTGGGAAATAAAATTCTGTCAAAGAATCATGTAACTGGAACTTGATTTCAGAAGGCAGTTTGTCTAATCTACACATTTTACAAACTATAAAACTATGATTCTGAATGTTGAAGCGCCGTAGTCAAGGTCATAGACTCCGGAGGTGATACTGGATAAGAACCTAGGTCTTCTTGGTTCCTAGGTTCCATCCAATGCTGCACTCCTTCCTTTTAAAAACAAATTATTGTATTATTTTCTAAACTTTTTATTTTTGTGATAATTATTGATTCACATGTAGTTGTAAAAATCACACAGGGAGATCTCATGTACCCTTTATTCAGTTTTCCCCAGTGGTACCATCTTGTAAAACTGTAGCATGTTGTCACAACCAGGATGTTGAAATTGACCCAATCAAGAAATAGAACATTCACATCATAGCAGAGTCCTCATGTTGCCCTTTTATAGCCATACCCACTGCTCTCTCGCCCCCATTCCCTCCTTAATCCCCAACAAATAATTAATTTGTTCTTCATTTCTAGAGTTTTGTCATTTCAAGAATGTTATGTTGATGGAATCATACAGTATGTAACCCTTTGAGACAGATTTTTTCACTTAGCATAACTCTCTGGTGATTCATCCAGGTGGTTGTGTGTGTCAATAATGTGTTCCCCCGTTTTTTTTTTCCTGAGTATTCCATGGTATGATTGTTCTAGTTTGTTTAACCATTCACCTGTTAAAGGACATCTAGGCTGTTTACAGTTTTTGGTTAACACAAGTCAATCAGCTATAAACATTCATGTAGAGGTTTTTGTGTGAACCTAAGTCTTCATTTCTTGGGATAAATGCCCAAGAGTTCAACTGCTGGGTTGTATGGTGAATGCCTTTTTAGCTTTTGAAGAAACAGCCAAACTGTTTTTCATAGTGGCTGTACCATATTAGTTTCCCACCAGCAATATATGAGTGATCCAATTTCTCGGTATTCTCACCAGCATCAGGTGTTGTCTCTGTTCTTTTATTTTAGCTATTGTAATAAGTGTGTAGTGATATCACGTTGTGGCTTTAATGTACATTTCCCTAATGACTAATGATGTTGGGTATTTTTTGCCTGTGCTTATTTTCCATCTATACATCTTCAGTGAGTGTGTCTTCACGTCCTTTGCCCATGTTCTAACTGGATTATTATTATTTTTACTGCTGAGTTTTGAGGTTCTTTATATATTGTAGATACTAGTCCTTTGTCGGATATGTGGTTTGCAGGTATTTTCTCCCAGTCTGTAGTTTGTCTTTTCATCCTTTTCGGAAGATCTTTCCCAGGACAAAGTTAACTTTGCTGAGGCACAACTTATCAAGTTTTCCTTTTATGGATTATGCTTTTGGTGTGAAATCTAAGAACTCTATTAACATATCCATAAACTTGCATTTTTGTGTGTGTGGGTGGTGAGAATACTTAAGATTTACTCTGTTGGCACATTTCAAGTATACAGTACAGTATTATTAACTATAGTCACCATGATAGACGTTAGGTCTCCAGAACTTATTCATCTTCCTTATGGAAACTTTGTACCCTTTGATCAGCATCTCCCTATTTTCCTCCACCCCCCAGTCCCTGGCAACCACCATTCTACTCTCTGTTTTTAAGAGTTCAAATTTTTTAGATTCTGCCTATAAGTGAGATCATGCAGTGTTTGTCTTTCTGTGTCTGGCTTATTTCACTTAGCATAGTGTTCTCCAGGTTCATCCATGTTGACACAAATGGTAAGGTTTCCTTCTTTAAAGCTGAATAATATCCCCTTGTATGTGGATACTACACTTTCTTTATCCATTCATCCAGCAATGAACACAAGTTATTTCCATACCTTGGCTGTTGTGAATAGTGCTGCAGTGAACATAGGAGGGCAGTTACCCTCTGAGATACCAATTTCATTTCTTTCAGATGTATACACAGAAATGGGATTGCTGGATAATACGGTAGTTCACTTTTGAATTTTTTGAATCACCTCTATGCTGTTTTCCATAGTCGCTCTACCAGTTTACATTCCCACCATCACTGCCAGAGTTCCCTTTCTCCACATCCTCACCAAAACTTATTATTTATTTATTTTTTAATACTTGTCATCAAAATAGATGTGAATTGGTTTGTGAATTATTGTGGTATTGATTTGCACTTCCCTGCTGATTAGTGATGTTGAACACCTTTGTGCATACCTGATGGCCATCCGTATGTCTTCTTTTGAGAAAAGTCTGTTTAGGTTCTTTGCCTATATTTTAATCAGGTTATTTTTTATTTTCGGCTGTTGAGTTTGGGAGTTCCTTTTATCTTTTGGATATTAATCCCTTATTGGATGTATGGTTTGCAAATATTTTCTCCATTCTGTATGATGCTTTTTCATTCCATTGATGGTTTCCTTTGCTGTGCAGAAGATTTTTAGTTACAAGCAATCCCCTGTGTCTATTTTTCCTTTTGTTGCTTGTACTTTTAGGAGTAATATCCAAAAAATCATTGAGCAGACCAATATTAAGAAGTGTTTTTTCTATGCTTCCTTCTAGCAGTTTTATAGTATGAGGTCTTAAATTTAAGTCTTGAGTCCATTTTGAGTTGATTTTTGTGTATGGTATAAGATAAGGGTCCAGTTTCATTCTTCTGCTTGTGCATATTCTATTTTCTCATCACCATTTATTGAAGAGACAATCCTTTCCTCTTAGTGTTCTTGGAACTATTGTTAAAGATCAGTTGTCCATAGATGTGTAGATTTTTTCCTGGGCTCTCAATTGTGTTCTGTTGGTCTGTGTGTGTGTTTTTATGCCAGTACCATACTGTTTTGATTACTACAGTTTTGTAATATATTTTGAAATCTGGAGATGTGATACCTCTAGTGTTGATCTTACTCCAAATTGCTCTGGCTATTTGAGGTCATTGGTAGTTCCATATAAATTTCAGGATGTTTTTTCTGTTTTTGTGAAAAATGCTATTGGAATATTGATAGGGAGTGTATTGAATTTATAGATTGCCTTTGGGTAGTATGAATATTTTAAAAATATTAATTGTTCCAATCCATGAACACAGGATATTTTTCCATTTATTTTTGTCTTCTTTCAATTTCTTTCATCAATATTTTATAGTTTTCAGTGTAAAGATCTTTCACTTCTTTGGTTAATTTTATTCTGAAGTATTTTATTCTTTTTGGTGCTATTGTAAATGGAAATGGTTTTTACTTTTTCAGATAATTCATTGTTAGAAATACAACTAATTTTTGTATCTTGATTTTGTATCTTGCAACTTTACTGAATTCATTTATTAGTTCTAAGAGTTCTTTGTACTAGACTCTTCAAGGTGTTCTTTATATAAGATAATGTCATCTGCAGAGAACTTTACTTTTTCCTTTCTAATTTGGATGCCTTTTCTTTCTTTTTCTTGTCTAATTGCTCAGGCTAAGACTTCTACTTCTATATTGAATAGAAGTGGTGAGAGTGAGTACCCTTGTCTTTTTCCTGATCTTAGAGTAAAACCTTTCAGCTTTTCACTGTTAAGTAGAATAAATCTCCTAAGTTTTGGTATGTTGTGTTCACATTTTCATTTGTCTGGTATATTTTGATTTTTCTTTTGACTTTTTCTTTGACCCATTGGTTGTGCAGGAGCATGTTGTTTAATTTCCATATATGTGAGCTTTTTGCTTTTCTCCTCTTATTGATTTCTAATTTCATACCATTGTGGCTAAAAAAATTTATTTCATATGATTTTGATCTTTTTAAATTTGTTAAGACTTATTTTGTGGCCTAACATATGATCTATCCTGGAGACTTTTCTATACACTCTTCAGAAGACTGTGTTGTGCTGCTTTTGGATGAAATGTTCCGTATGTATCTGTTAGGTTCATTTGGTCTATAGTATTGTTCAAGTCCTTTGTTTACTTATTGATTTTCTGTCTAAATGATTTATCCATTTTTGGAAGTAGGATATTAAAGTCCCCTGTTATCATTTATTGCTGTCTATTTCTTCCTTCAGTTCTGTTAATATTTGCTTTATATATTTAGGTGCTCTGATGTTCCATGCATATGCATATACAATTGTTACATCCTCTTGATGAAATTGACCCCTTTATCATTATATGATGACCTTCTTTGTTTCTTGTGGAAGTTTTTGACTTAAAGTCTAGTTTGACTGATGTAAGTATGGCCACCTCTGCTCTCTTTTGGTTACCATTTCCATCCTTTCAGTGTCCGTCTATGCATGTCCATATACAGTCATGCACCACAT